CGTACTAATCTGCTATTATACTGTTACAAATGTATCCTATTTCATCTTTCTATGTTTCCTCAGATTGAAATACAAGTGAAGGATGTAAACAAAAAGTGTAGTGAATTAAGTATCGTTTAAAGTGGGTATACTTTACATAAAAATAGGTATTGCTAATTGAAAATTAAACTCGCGTGTTTGCACTTGATTATTCCATTCTTAAATCTACATTCGCGTCCGTTATGGCATATTTACCTACATACGTGACGACTGTTACTTCTCTATACGTATCTATACTGTCAGGACAAGGAGTATACGTAGACATATACATTGAGAAATGAAATTAACATCTGGCATTCAACAACGTTTACGATGACATTGCCTCACACTATTAGTAAAGACTCTAATGAAGCAAACTTAAATTGTATTCGCATAATTTAATATTTGCTAAATGTTGAATCTTACTCTATCGGTGAGAAATTGGTGTCTTATGTTCCCTTGTATCTTGACATATGTACTTCTCTTGGTATATACTAAAGAATTGCACATACACAATTTCATTCATGTAAACTACATTCATTTTTTTTTCACAGCCTTGTTGTGAAAATATAATTTCAAAGATAATTTGAATACGTTGTATTTTGCATACGTATTGGATATGCTTCTGCAATAGAGCTACCTCATAAAAGGAAAACTGCATTGCTAAAAACTTCATAAATTTTTTTTATCAATATGTCAGAATATTACTCCAAATATCCGACATTAATGTTTCATAATTTCTGCAATACCTATATTCATCTGAGAGTTCTTATGTACAATACATAACATATTGCTGCACTGTTCTCTTAATAGTAGGTTTAGTTCTTTGCCAGTGTTATGTACTAGTTTCGACCGAGTTTGTCTCTGTATCACAAAACTCACGAATATCAGTTTGCCCTTCAGTGTCATCAAAACCATTGTTGTGATTACTGTTAATGCTTTCATTCTTTGATTCTTCACTGAATCTTACACTGTCGAGCTTTAAATTAATTGAGCTATCCGTTTTAGATAATTCACTAATATCTGAATCATCCAACTCCAATGTTACTTCAATCGAAGAGTCATGTCTAGATTCTTGACTAGGATAAGAATCATCAATATCCCTTATAGACTTACTTTCGGAACATGTTTTAGAAGTTATATTATAAATAGACTGTGACGAAAGTAACTGTTCAATGTTAGATAATTTTCCTCCACTTGTATCTCCCGATTTACTTAACCTTTTTGCTAAGTCTGCCCATGGATCTTCCAAAAAAGATTTCATATCTATGTATCTTGATATGTCAATCTCTTTGCGTGCATCCTTATGGGAACCCTGTATGTGAAAAAATATGCTAGATACCACCTAACTATAAGGATTAATGATCTTAGAGGAAAGATATGAAAATGCCATTCGGAATTACCTTTTTGTGACCATGAAACTGTTTACCAGAGTGCTTGTAAGGAGAGTACGAATTATTGTAATTTGACTTTGAGGTTGCATGATAATTGTTCCTGTAATGGTTAAATCCACCGCTACCTGAGTTACGATGATTACGACCACCTCCAGAACCATGCCAATTACCACTGTATCTTTTCTGATCTGACACTGGCGTACTAATATTCAAGGGAATAAAGTCGTTCCCAGTACGCATTTGTATTCCATTCGGTGACACACTCTGATAACCGTCATCGTTACCGTAGCTGTATTCTGTCCTATTTTTATGATCGTGCATCTTCCAATTGTAACATTGCTTTCCTCTACTACTACTTGGCGTACTTAAAGGAGACTTTTTCATTTCGAAACTCTTGTTTACACTAATACGTTTTCACAGATTCTATCAATATTTACAAGCAATGTTGTCTATAATACAAAATACTAATAAGACGCCATACTGTAACTTACGCTGACCAATCGATATCTCGAAATGGTGGCGTATCGATACACGTTTCAGCATCTCGAATCGATATAAATTTAAATATCATTTGAATAGTTTGAATTTGATATTAATGAATATACAGCGAATATTTATGCAAAATAAAAATTTTCAGATGGAAATGTCTGATGAAAATTGTAATAGCTTGTGTACAATATAAAAATATTTTCAAACTCTTCTAATGTCTTTACAAACAAAAAAATACATAAAATCCGCAATCTATTTATATTTCCTGAAGAAATAGTTAACAATATTTCTGTGACACGATTTATTTATCACCTATCAGTTGTTGTTAATTTTCTCTTAATGTGATTTAAATTTTGTTTATAATGTTCTCATAGTTTTTCCTGTTTCTGTTAACAAATTTAGACCAAAAAGTTGTACAATAAAACCAATAATATTTACTTAATTAAACTTAATTAAGTACAATGTAAAAGATTACTACAATGAAGTATATGTAAATAAAATTTCTTTTTACGTAAATTTCAATCATGTTTAAGATTTTTATATTTATCTATACATCATAAGCAAATGGCGTGTTCAAATAAGCATTTGTGTTCTTAATATTTTACATTTTTCCGTATTTCGTGTACAGTTTTTAGCATAAGGTATGTGCTTCCACCTATGTTAAATTGTGGCGGTTAATTTGAATTGTTTGAAAGGACAGAAAAAGAAGCTTTTTAGTCAAAATTTGCTATTTGGACTCATCAGTAAGGCTATACAGCAGATGCAATCTTAGACGATCTATTATTTCTATTTTCAATTTTCAAGTATAGAATGTAGTACATTGAATTTATTTGTTCTTAATTTGCCTTCAAGTAGACACTTTATTAATAGTCCTGATTGGTAAACTATTTAGAAATTGTGAACATAATATGAAAAAAGTATTTAGAAATGAAATAGTGTCCACATTTATATAAATATATTAAATCAAAAAAGAAATATTTTAGTTTTACTATTATTTAGTACTTTTCGCTAAATTAAATTGTCTGCACACGCACGTTTTTTTTGAAAATAATTCGTAAAACAGTGGAACTGTCAATATCCTGTAACTTATATATTCAGCATTATTTTTACTTGAATAAATACTGTATACACTAGAAATATAACTAAATATATGTGTGAAACCTCAATATAAAACAATCTACGATTTGTTTGACAAAAAGTCAGAAAGAATGCCGAAGCGGATTGCTAGTTATTGTTCCAATAAATATCGCATATTTCTAAATTAGTAAGTGCAAGTAAATTTACATTGAAACATTGCAAACGTAATGAGTTAATAGTGGATTACACAAATTTTTAAATAATTACATTAACATCTATTAATAACGTCTTGTTTGAAGCTGCGTAAAGCCGCCACGGCCACCATAATCCGGGTGAAACTGGACAAAACGTAGTTTGAATTATTTAAATTTGGCTCCACGAAAGGAATCGACGACATGGTTGCCAACGTTCGCTATCGAAGTTTAAGGTGGTGGAGACTCACTCGGCACGATACAGGTGGCGCTGGATCGAGATTGCAGCACGCATGTGTAATGGCGCTGCGACTGGGAGTAGCGAGACTATCGCAGATGCAGCGAACGTCTCGTCTAGTGTGGGTAGTAGAGTGTACATCGTGCTTTGGTCGCGCACGTTTGCGAGAGTTTGTGTCCAGAATGAACGGCTTAGTACCTGTTGCACGACCCGGCGCGGACCGGTTCGAGTCGTTTCCTTATCGACGTTTGTCGTAATAGAAAGGCGGTCTGTTTTTTCGGCGAGAATGAACTGTCGCAAGTGTCGCGATCGTCATTGTTGACGTTTCTGTTGGTGTGACAGTGGTGTGGGCCGCTACCGCTGCCCTGCCGTGCATCACGATTTTCTCGTGCTGAAACAGCGCGCAGCGCGCAGGATACGTTTAGCCGACGAGTGAAACAATGGGGATCGTGCAAAGTCGTGCCGGCGAGAGCGATGGCGGTGTGCGCGAGGTGTTCATCGGTGGTGTCAAGGGCGGCGCGCCTCATCAATCCTGTCAACCTAGCCTTGGCATGGGAAGTTTGGGTGGACCACACGCACGGAGCGGCAGCGTCCGTAGCGCGCCAAGGCAACCGATGCCCGACGCTGTCGAGCTCGAGAGGCGCTTCACCAAAGTGCTGGTGAGTTCTCTCTGCATTTTATGCTCCCCTAATAATTCCGTAAATCCCCTAACGTGCGCATCCGGCGTGTCTCACGGATTAGACGCATGGTTACGCTTTTACGCTTGTCGATCCTTTCACGTACCGTCAGACCAACACCACGGGCAAACTGTCAGCACGTCCACGATTAGATGTGCTTTACTTTAACTGAATCAAAACAACAGACTACGCTCTTGGCGACAATAACATAAAACATTACAGAGAACTATATTAATGTGTGTTATGAAAACAGTGTTACTGTTCACACCGTGAGGCGTCGTTTATCGGTAAATTGTAATTTATAACTAAAAATTATAGCGATAAACCTAAGAGAGAAATTGAAATAGCTATTTTAAGTCATCATGAAACTATGAGACATATTCTTTTGTAAAAAGCGGTTGCAAATATTTATTTCTGTTGTACATTGACAGCGTGTACTGTACAGCGTGTATCATTTTTTATTATTTTTATTCAAGCATTCGTTCCCATGGTTTTCAAATATGAAACGTCAAATATCTTCTGTAGGGATACCAATATTGTGTTCATGTCCTAACACTATAACGGCAATCTTAGAGAACATTTTCTTCTAAGAGGAATATATGATTTTAAAAGAGATTTGACAATTTTTTAGCAAACTGATGATTAAGTTGTAGATCTTTAGGCGAAATAAAACTTGCATCAACTGCAAAGGATGGGAAGCAGCTAGACACTTAATTCTTTCTTGCAACATTTTAACAAGTTGAAAGCAGTAAGTCGATATTCAATTATTTGAATGTTTCCACTTCCACTAAGTAGTGTTGCATACCCATTTTTGTCACAAACGCATAAAATCCATAGTCTACCGACGATTACTTGCCTTTTATTCCATAGTGAAGCGTTTTTTCCCCTTCATTAAAATGCGCCGGTATACTGTATATTTCAGAGAAACACATCTACACTGACGCGTGCACACAAACGACGTTTACAAAGCTATCTTTTAAAACGCTAGGCAGGCTCCATTTACGCCGATGTGCGTGAACGCAAACGGTAATAGGATATTAATTGAATCGCTTTGATCGACCGTACATCACATGCCACATAAATTATCGAATTTAGCTTTAAGAGGATCCTAAAACTCGCGTCTCGTCGATGCAATCATATAGAACAGATAATTTCAGCGAAAGTAGTAGCGAAAATTTACTATTAACACCATATAAGAAAACACCAGTTATACTGGAAGGGTGAAAACAACCCGTTATGTTTGGGATGATAACTGTATGGTCGAATATTTTAGAGACTACCACAAATTATGAAAAATCATTATGAACATCAGGAATGTCAAAATCGTGTATGATGGATGAAGGATGTTTTGAATAAAAAATTTAATTGGTAAAGCTGCATTTGTTGAAACAATGCTTATGTGTGCATTTAGTTAAATGTTATTTTATTTCTCTAGTCAGTTTGCGTGAAATGTACGTGAGAAAAAATTCCACTTTATTCGCATTTATTGCTTGGTTACATAAATGTACAGAAAAGTGAAAAAAAATGCAGTTGTACACCTTCATCTCTTGCTAAAAATGTACCATTTTGTCATTTATGACGTCCTTTTACGGCGAATATTTTTCAAGATATTTGCAAATATACGTTCTTCATCTTAAAATTCTTCGATATAAATAACAATCGACAAAAATAATATAACCTTTTATCATAGTAATTGTATATTAAGTAATTATTAGATCAGTATACTTCCTTGTAAAAATTACCAAATATGCATCGATGCATGTACCGCTCACTTTTTTAATTCAGGTAAGGAGGGTTGACGAAACAGGTGACGCTGTATTTGAGACGGTGTCTTATTTTATCTTGTAATTTTGGCGTGTAAATAACACGCCGATCGGTGTCAACACGTGCGGCCTGTAACTTATAGCTGCTAATATTTGAACTCGAGTGAACCCGTGATACTTTAGGGCTCACCGTCCCTGTATAGGTATCGATATCCATCTGCATATCGTGATTCAAGTTTAATCGCAAACTAAAACACCGATACACAAGTTATTTAGTTTCCAGTATCAATAATCGTGTGCAGATCGAATACAAGTTCATCACATATAGAAAAATTACACCCAGTAGCAATAATTGCGGTATTATGTTTTGAAAAATTGTTATCATCCTACGAAAGTATAGTCGGAGATAAATATATGTGGATATCTTTAAAAACGGATTAACTTTTTTAATATTGAACTAAAGTAATTTAATTTTCTTGGCATGTTAGAAGGGGTAGTTTTGACAAAAACTATAATTGACTGGAATGTAAAAAAAAATTTTTTTAATCACGATTTCCAATGCAATACATTTTTCTATGGAATGCCGTTTTATACGACGTTCAGTTTTAAAAAAGTTATTCCGTTCTAAAAGGTGTTCTCATATACAGGGTGACCCAGAGTATCCGTCCACACCTATTAAAATGGAGAGCAGTGATTTTTATTGTAAACTAAAAAAATTTTAGTAACTAAATCGAGTACACTATCGAATATGGTGGTAGTTGTAATTTCTAGCACTGACCGGAAATAGAATTTTCAGACCGGAAATATGCGAAAAAATATAAAAGTTCTGTCTCAAATATCTTTTTCGAAAATGCGCGTGTCAATTACGAAACGATTTTTAAGGTACCGATTTCGCCAAATATTCGAATCATGTTTATTTTTCAGGCCTACCATATCGCTTTTAATTGATTCTTGAGACTCGACTTGTCAGCTTCAGCTGTGGTATATTCAAATGAGAAAGCATGCGACAAATTATTATTTGTTTATTAATTCATTTTTGTAAAAATCATTATATCAATTA